ACTTAGAATTAAATGACCACGGCGAACTCACTGAGAACCGCAGTGAGGAGATGCCCAGGACACACGCGGACCAGCAGACAGGTGGGGAGCGGGGCAGCGCGGGTTAAGCGTCTCTACCCATGGTGCACCGCGGATTAGCGTCTCTACCCATGATGCACCGTGGATTAACGGCCCGACCCGTGATGCACCGCGGATGGGCGGTGCGAGGGCTTTGAAAGGAGGATAAAAAGGGACGCTTTGGGGAAGCACGGGGCCATTTTTTTTGACTGGAGATCAAGAGGAGGGAGGGACCCGAGGAGCCGTCATCTCACTGTTACTCGCACGTCCGTGGGACGGGGCAGAGAACAGCCAGAGTCTGGTTACAGGATCATCTATCCGCGACCTCCATCGCTGCGAGGTTGGACCGTAAGTACGAGGGAGAGAGGTAAGACAAAGGGGCGAAATTCGGAGAGAAAAATGAGAGAGGGCAGGCCGATTAAGTATCAGGAAGTAGGGAGATAGGTTAGACCTGTCCTGCTGGTCCGTACTGACACGCACAGTCTAGTTCGTTTATTCGTGGGGAATAAACCGTCCGTAGGGTATAAACCGTGTCGTGTTGTCTCTGTGAGTACGGAGGGGCGGTGCGTGGTGTGGGGAGCCTGCCCGCGGTGATTCTTTTGTTTGCGCGTGAGTGAGTAATTTTACCCACGTGTTTACGCTCGCACGGGTGGGTTCACTCGGGACTTGACGCGCATGTCGGGGCAGCAGTAACGTGCTATCACCCTGGGAATTAAAGTACGGGTCCTTCGATCATTAAATTCACTAGTGCGTGGTGTGGTGAGCCTATGCATCGTGTGACGCAGGTTGTAGTTCGCCCGCACCAGTACAGGGGCGTGCAGGAGCAGCGGCGCTCACGGCACGCGCCGCGCGTGTAGCGCGTAGAGATAAATTGGTGAGCGGGTATTCCGCAGCGCAGCCTAATTAGTTGCTTCCGAACGGCTGCGACGGTATATAAAACAAGATTACACAATTCAAGCACGCGATGCTGCTGGCGGTGGTTACCGCGTGAGTAGAGCTGCGCCGTGAGGTACACGGATACCCACGTGCATAATCATACACCGGTTGTTGCAGTTGTGGTAGTGGTATGAATTTAACGGGGGAGTCGGGGGCCAACGGCCCCGACAATTCGGTGATGGTGGGGGACGGTAGCCCCCACACTCTCTCCACTGCTAACTGCTTCGTCTCTGCTCTCCGCTATCACCATGATCTCTCCACTGCTAACTGCTTCGTCTCTGTCTTGCGCTCTACAGTTACACCATGCTCTCTCCACTGCTAACTGGTTCGTCTCTGTCTTCCGCTCTTCGCTATCACTATGCTGTTTCCAGTGCTAACTGCTTCGTCTCTGTCTTCCGCTCTTCGCCATCACTATTCTCTCTCCACTGCTATCTGCTTCGTCTCTGTCTTCCGCTCTTCACTATCACTATGCTCTCTCCACTGCTAACTGGTTCGTCTCTGTCTTCCGCTCTTCGCTATCACTATGCTCTCTCCACTGCTAACTGCTTCGTCTCTGTCTTCCGCTCTTCGCTATCGCTATGCTCTCTCCACTGCTAGCTGCTTCTCTCTTCAGCTGCTCCACGTCTTGCCTCGTCCAGCCCCCGACTCCAACTCCCCGTTTCTCCTCACGTCCCCCAATTTATCCCCGCTATCATTACACCCCAATTAATTAACCCACGTCCCAACGACGCTCCGCGTGCCCGTGCACCTGTTACCTCGCCAGACTTCAAGACGCCACTTCAGCCCTGACAACACCAGCCAATCATAGCCGTCCTTGGCTCCCCCAGCTTAATTGGCCCACTCGTTACCTCATCGTCCCAATATGACCCCCTACTGCCCTGCTCCCGCGCAAACTCACCAATTACCCCCATGCGCCTATTTATTCCACTACACATGTATGAACAAACTTGCAGCCATATCTGTCAGCATGACACTCCCCGTGTATGATGTGTGAGTGAGTCAATAGTAGTGAGTGTATGATGTGTGAGTCAGCGTATAAGTGAGTCAGTGTATGATGTGTGAGTCAGTGGTAGTGTGAGTGAGTGTATGATGTGTGAGTGAGTCAGCGTATTATGAGTGAGTGTATGATGAGTGAATCATATGTGTGAGTGAGTCAGCGTATGATGAGTGAGTGAGTGTATGATGTGTGAGTGAGTCAGCGTATTATGAGTGAGTGTATGATGAGTGAATCATATGATGTGTGAGTGAGTCAGCGTATGATGAGTGAGTCAGTGTATGATGTGTGAGTGAGTCAGTGTAAGATAAGTGAGTGTATCATGGCATCCTCCCTGCCATACGGCCTCCTCCCCGCCATTGCGGCCTCCTCCATGCCATCGTGGCCTCCTTCCCGCCATCGTGGCCTCCTCCCAGCCATCGCGGCCTCCTCCACGCCATCGCGACCTCCTCCACGCCATCGCGGCCTCCTCCACGCCATCGCGGCCTCCTCCATGCCATCGCGGCCTGCTCCATGCCATCGTGGCCTCCTCCCCGCCATCGCGGCCTCCTCCACGCCATCGCGACCTCCTCCACGCCATCGCGGCCTCCTCCATGCCATCGTGGCCTCCTTCCCGCCATCGTGGCCTCCTCCCCGCCATCGCGGCCTCCATGCCATCGTGGCCTCCTTTTCACCATCACGGCCTCCTCCCCGCCATCACGGCCTCTCCCCGCCATCGTGGCCTCCTCTCTCCCTAACCCCAACCCTAACCCGTAACTGCTAACCCATGACCCCTGACCCCTAACCATAAACCTAATCCTAACCCCTAAACCTTACCCCTAAACCCTAACCTCTAACCCTAACTCCTAACACTAACATCTAACCCTAACCACTATCCCGAACCACTAAACCAAACCCTAACGCCTAATCCTATCCCCTAACACTAACATCTAACCTTAATCCCTATCCTTAACCTAACCCTAAACCCTAACCCCTACCACCAACCCCAACCCTAACAACCATAACCCTTAACCAATCCTAACCCTGACCCCAACCCCTAACCCTACCCCCTAACCACTACCACTAACCCCCTAACCCTTAACCACCTAACCTCTAACCCTGACCCTAAACCCTACCCTTAACCATAAACGCTAACCCCTAACACTTTCCCCTACCCCTAAACTCTAACCCCAAACCTAGCCCCTCACCACTAATCCTAATGCTTGCTCTAACCCCATCCCTAACCCCATGTTGTTTAGGTCATATAGCGGGCATCCATCTTGGTTATTTGGCAGGCGCCCATCTCAGTTAAGTTATTTAGCGGGCGTTCATCTTGGTTAGGTTATTTGGCAGGGGTCCATCTCGGTTAGGTTATTTGATGGGTGTCCATCTTGGTTAGGTTATTCGGTAGGTGTCCATCTTGGTTATGTTATTCGGTGGGCGTTCCATCTTAGGTTATTTGGCGGGCGTCCATCTTGGTTAGGTAATTTGGCGGGCATCCATCTTGATTAGGTTATTTAGTGGGTGTCCATCTTGGTTAGGGCAAATAACGGGCGTCCATCTTGCATAGGTCAAACGGGGCGTCCATATTGATTAAGTTTTTTTGCGGGCATCCATCTTAGTTAGGTCAAATAATGGGCGTCCATCTTGGTTAGGTCAAATAACAGACGTTCATTTTGATTAGGTTATTTAGCGGGCGTCCATCTTAGTTAGGTCATATAACGGGCGTCCATCTTGACAAGATTATTTAGCGGGCGTCCATCTTGGTTATTATTTAGCGGGTATCCATCTTGGTTAGGTCAAATAATGGGCGTCCACCTTGATTAGGTTATTTAACGGGTGTCTACCTTGATTAGGTTATTTAGCGGGTGTCCATCTTGATCAGGTTATTTAGCGGGTGTCCATCTTAGTTATGTCAAATAATGGATGTCCATCTCGGTTAGGTTATTTAGGGGGCGCACATATTGATTAGGTTATTCAGCTATCTTCCATGTTGGTTAAGCACTTTAGCTATCGTCCATGTCGGTTAAGTTATTTAGCAGGTGTCCATCTTGGCTAGGTTATTAAGCGGGTATCCATGTTGGTTAGGTCATATAGTGGGCGTCCTTGTTGGTTTGTCGTTTAGAAAACAATATGTAGCCATCCTTCTTCAATGGGTCAGGTCCCATTACCACCTTCACCATAACCAGAGGTCACGGGACAAGATCACGCAACAAACAGGCCACTCGGGGCAGTCGTCCTCGCTGATGAAGTGGCGAGCTGCAGGTTCGGACAGAAGGGCCCATGCCCGAAACGTCGCCTGTATGCGTTATTTCAATGCCACCGGGTTATTGACGAATATGTTGAGTTTGTTGGGTTTTTAATTGCGTTCGTGCACGGCTGCCAAGGAAGCTTCACCCAAAGATCTGTAGCCATAGATTCACTCACAAGAGGGCGCCACGTATCCGTGCACTGCAGTGACAGCAGGGCCAGACCCAAGTCCTGTGCTGAAATTGGACTCATCTCAAATAGTGGGTCCCTGCCAATAACATCTGGCAGACCACCAGTGTTGGTGCAAGCGAGCCATTACTGCTCATGAGACACCGAGTGTCAAAGCCTGCCCAGGGTGTTGCTTGTGTTGAATTAATGCCGCTGAATGCTCTGGTTTGTAGTGCATTACGCTACCGCTCCCCACAACAATAAACACACACACAAACGTACATACTATACCACGTGAATGGAAGCACGTGACATGAGGTTCTGCATGGACAATGGCCTAAAGACCCACCATGAGATGCTGAGGTTATTTCATATCAATATACACAGCCACTCACACCTGCCACCATCCACTCACTCTCACCGACTCGCCCCTGACAAACGCTATATGCTCACACATACCTACATCGTACCCACTTGCATGTGCACTACACCGAGGGCATTGTCCTCATCATCGGGTATAACAAAGCCACTGCTGGATTAAGGCCCCTCAAAGCCAACACCATCCCTTCTGGTCCCACGATGCAACAATCCATCTAGCTCCTGCACGAACGTACCATTCCTTGACAAGTCGTGTGCATTTTATTTTTGCTTAACACACATGGCACCTTTCTGGCACAAATATGCTACTCCGTTATCATTTTTCTTGACCATCGTTCCTTTTAGCAACGTATCCTGCCCAAATCCACGTACCCCTTAATAGTTGTGATGTTAGTTACCTGTGTATGTCCTCTAATCCACGTGCTCCTGTCTCAGAGTGTAATTTGAAGCATGCATCTCTCCATGCTCTTGGCACACTCTTTGGTTTTACCTACGACTAAATGTAAAAAAATAGCTACACTATTGTAACTAACCCTAATCGCGACCAAACAAAGAACACTGAATGACGAAACACACTGAATATTCTCGACGTGGCATGAATATGGACGGCAAGTGAAGAGACCCCTATTGAAGGAGATCTGTGTGGGGTCTTCCGGGATATTCCACAAGGATATGGCGCGAGTCTCTGCCTCCTGTAAGTCATGTGAATATTGATGCCTCTTCACCTTGTGGCCTCTCCTCTCTCAGTGTGATCGCACGTCATCAGTGATGTAAAAAAATAGAATCCACTCAAGAGCCAGACATGACGTGAAAACTGATCCCAACAACATTTGTAGTCAGAGGTTCCATGATTACAAAATGATACGCTTACAATTAAAAAGTGCTTGATATTATCATACAATGCAATATTCCATGTAGTACAATACGACGTAACATAAGATATGGTTAAACAGTGCAGTATCCAGCATTGACGCCTCTGAGAAACTAATTTGACCCTGAGTTATTCGAGTAGTCCTTGTCAGTGGTTAACATTCATAGCCGGCGCTGGCAGCCGCTGCCTGCATGACGCGGTGTTGGGGTGTTGCTTTCGCATCTCTCAGTCTGATCCCAACATGAGACAGACCCTGAATGCGACAAACACGACGTACAACGTCGCAGAAACATAGATACGGAGGGGAGGAGGAGGAAGCTACAGGCTTCGTGGGGACCAGGGCACCACGGAAAAGGCCCATGACAGGCAACGACGCTGGCCGTAGAGGGGAAAGGGTTGTACAAAACGCAAGTTTCATTTACATGTGCGGGTTACTGATATTACTGCTGATGTTACTCTTTTTAATGTTTTAAGTATCGGTTGGAAGGAATCGAGTGGGCGCACGGGCGCCGTATCGCCCACCTATGGAGTGCGGAGTGTTCGGGGCTGGGTGCCACTGAGTCGGCCATTGCACACGAGGTCAGAAGCCGAGCGACGAAGGCGGTGGCGTCTTCCTGGGCCACGTCGGATTCTGAAAACACCCGACCATGCCCAGCCGGGCCTCCAAGATGGTAGGTGATTCTCCCACGCAGAGGACGAATTGAGTTACGAGCACCGCTTTTCTCTTGTTATAAAAAAAAAATCTTGCGAGCGTCAATCTCCAGCCATTGCCCCAGAATCGAGGGGGTAGTCTGCAGAATTTAAAGTGCCTTCCAAGTGTGCGGCGATGGCTCCAGACATCCTGCCGTGGTGGGGCTGCACACGACTTCATATCTACGATGGCCCGCGGCCCCACTGAAGGCTCCATGTGGAGTGTGCCGGTGCTTGACCCCACTCTCTCTGCACCACAGCGGTGCTCTCCCTGCATCCCAGGCCCAGCCCTCACACAGACTGCTCATCGGTTTCGGTGAGCGGTGAGTCGATGTGCACGGCGCAGCTCGGCCGCCGCTCCCACAGCCGGTGGTTGTCGGTGGCCTCGGGATCGCCGGTCATGCTGGTACTGGCCCGACGGAACATGGCGAGTGGCGGGTGCAGGCGCAGGCCCTTGCCCGTCACTACCGAGCCCTCAATTGCCTTCTGCAGCTACACACACACACGCGGTACATACATGCAAACGAATGTAAAAAGATCCCATGTTGCCCCTATAAGTTCTTCGAAAAAGCTGTGGTAGTGAGCATCTATGAAGGCCAGAACATTCGTCCGCCGCTTTTGTCTCAGTGCCGACGTTTACACACCGCACCAGGTATTTGTGTATATGTGTGTGTGTGAATGTGCCAGTTGGCATGTCATACCTCCGGAAGGGCAACGACGCCCACGAGCTTGCCAATGCTGGTCACGTACGCTCGGCTGAGACCCAGCAGAGAGAAGAGTGTGTGGGTCTGCAAGACACGTGACTCTTACTTCACCACTTACATGCCCACCAGCTCGACTGTCCGCTTGCTCACTCTCAAGTACAGTGACTGGGCTGATAGAACTCACTGCATGACAGAACAAGAGAGTAAAAGAGGGGAACCTGAATAATCTTTTGGGCAAATGATGGGTATATTACTCTGTAGCAGGGCGGGCAGCAAAGTGCAGCTCCTTAGTGCAGATAAGAGGTCACTTAAAGGGATCTCAGAAGTAGTTCTGTGATATCTGCTTCGGTGGGCCATTTTGTAAAAGAGTGCCCCTGCTCTGCAAGAGGTCCAAGTAGATACTTTGTCTTGTGACATGAAGAATTAGAAAAATCTCAATTTAATTACTCCTGTTTGCAGGGCGCATCGGTGTGAGTTGCTTGTGAGAGCAAGTCCATGGTGATATCATTCACAAATGACTAACACTGTGGGACGCAAGGAGTGTACAGTACTGATATGCGAGATACAAATGGATTCTTCATTTTATGCCACGACGCCGATCGCACAATTGAGATCAAATTGGACGAGACAAAAAAAGATTTAAAAAACAATTACAACATGGTGGCCAGGTCTCCCTTGTGAAATAGACAATGTATGCAAATCGGGCCCCACCAGGTTAATTAAAGGCCATGTGACGGCACTAATAGAGCCTCGCGTTCACAGTGAATGAACTCAGATTAAGCGCAAACCTGACGAGGGCCCACCTTGTGCAGCGACGTGCGCTCCACGAGCTGGAATGGGGACGGGTCGATCCTGCAGAAGTCAAACTCCACCATCTCGTCCAACTGCTGCTCCTCCCACTCCTCCACCTGCCGAGACAAGCTTGGCGGTGACGAATCGGGTTTCCATCGAGAAGTAAGAGGAACAATGTGGCTCACTCCAAATAAAAATTTACTCGGTAACTTTTACCATTCTCCAGAATTGTTTTTTTTTCATAAGCAGCTGCTGCTGGGGCTGTGTGTTGGGATCCACGTGCTGTTTTTGCCGTTTGTGTTCCTTATAAGTGTGATTGGATGTCAAGTATAGCTTATTTTGAAATAAAAAAAATCACTTGCCACTTCCTAAATGCATTTAGAAAACAAAATGTACATATTTTTATGTTTGCAAGTATGATCAATATTCTAATGTCCAAAGAAAACGTCATTGAATAAGTATCACTTAATGTAATAGATTGAGCTGTAAACCCAGCATGCGTTCTCCTGGGCTCAGCCAGAGTCATTATCTCTTGTTCCTGTAATGAGCTCTCACCTCCATCTCAGTCATGGAATCCACTTCTGGCTCCTCCTGTGAAGAGATGTGCCGCAGTCATTCCTAATCCCGAGTCCACCTGACATCGCATGATATCACACCCCCTTCACATCACACGACATCATATCCACATCATACGTTATACTACCATCACACGACATGGCAGCAATACCATATTCACATCACACCAATATCACTCAACATCAAATTACATCATACCCTCATACATTACACTATCATTGCATCATAAGCATATTACATTTAACATCGCAAAGCATTATACCAACATGACAGACATTACACCAACATCACAACCTCCATCACGGGCATTACGCAGTCATTGCAGCACCATCACTGGACCGTGTACATTTGGTACACGTGTGTAACTCTGTGTTATGGACAAGCCAGGACCCATGAGGGCATAGAAACCGATTCCAGGGTAAGATCACAAAATGAATAGAAAAGGCCAAGGCTTTGACAATTGTTTCACAGAATAATTTCATAGGAAAATAATTTTCATCAATTGTGATTTCAAATGTACTGCACATTATATACAGCAAGTAGTATCTCAAAAACATCTCATTTGTTTAAGTAAAGGATACTGGATGAATAATATATCTTAAATTGCAATGCCTTCATTTAGGCCAAGGTCTAGACCTGGGCCTTGTTGAACAAAGCCAAAGCCTGACCTCTAGGACAAAAACACAAACTTGAAAGTGGAAGATGCCTCTGGGACTGAGGCGTATGAAGAGAAGCTGTGCAGTACACAACAATATGACATAGTGACCACAACTGGTTTTAAATTACTGTTGCATATGGACTAAAGAGAAAACCACGCTCACAAGACCACTTACACATGTCACCACGATCAACGCTGTATGAAGGGCGCCCAGTTCACTCTTGTTCAGCCTGCTCTATTGCTGCATTCACCCTGCCTCGCCTGTCCAACTCATGTGGCCAACTGCCTGAGTTATATTCATATTCTTGGTTCTTTCGGTAAAGTCACGTAGAAGGGAAACAATAAAATAATAAAAAAATATTTTTTTATGAATCCCTGCAGTCACGAAAGCTTTAAATAAAAATGTATGCCTGAGTTATAGTTTGAGAAGTGACAGGGATGGTTGGCTCAAGAGATGTGCGGAGAATGATGATCTCAGGTAGGTTACTGAGAACTACACACGAGGCCCACTTGGTATATGGACACAGACTTGAACCACGAACTTGCCAGCTGAGTGGCAGAATAGGGCTGCTGATATACATACAGAGGGGATGTCAGAGCATGGTAGAGATGACAGGAGCGAAGGCTTGTTTGCAGGTAGAAGCAGTGGTGAAGCAGAGCTCTGTTATTTTTACTGCAGGAGTGGCAGTGGGGACGCAACGATGCCCAGCAGTGGCACAGGTGGCAAAATATGTTAACCAGCGGTACCCAGCAGTATGCTGAATGGCGTGCATGATGGGGGCCAGCGTTAAGACTAAGCTATTGTTAATGTGTGAGGGTGGTGGGTGAGCAACCTCTCTATTCAGTGAGAAATACTGCACCGTGAAGGTCCTTTGAAACTTTTTCTCGCTCAGCCTGTCCTACAACCACTGCTAACGCCCCCACTACACATATCACCACTATCACCATTAACCATCATTATTGAAGAGCCTGCAACAGGGCCAGTTTGCATGGTAAGAGTGATTTGTAAGCATGTAATATTTATCACTCGCAGTGCATGCGTCTGATCACAGCTGACAAAAATCTACTATTTATGATTGAAAAATATGTGACTTTAGGCTGATGGAACAAACAAGACAGAATAAGACAACACACAGTGATATAATAAAAAAAACAATCAGCAACAATAGCACAGGTAAATAATGTCTTCGTTGCACTGTTAAATTACGCAACTCCAGGCCAGAACAACACCGTGCCCTGGCTGCGCTACACCGCACTATACTTGTGCACCAGACACATTCTATCACGCCACACCACGCTACACCAAGCCACACGGCAAGGCACTAAGCTACGGAGCAGCAAAAACAGCAGTCTCCAAAACCACATTGTAAATGCCCCCTCTCCTTCTGTTGATGTGAGAATTCTCAAGAGGCAAGTTTCTTATCATATTGTATCAAAACAAATGTCAAATGTTTAAGAGGAGGCCAGTTGGCTTCGTGGGCTGACGCTAATACCCATGTCAGTAAGCTTAGTCAGAAATAACGAAACCCTGTTTGCAAATCCTGGGATTCCACATGAGTTTCAGCCAGGGCCTCAAGTGCAGGTGCTCTTATGGTTACAATGACTGCACAATGCCAAAAAACATCTTTTACTGAATGTCACCGAGCCCAGCTCTGAGAGATATTTAGCACACCAACAAGGAGACCCCCCCTCACTCGTGTGAACGGTGCATTCTGGGTACTTGCGTATTGCACAAAAGTAAAAAATATTGAGTGAAACAGCTACGATATCACACCTTGCTCATTCCCTAACATGAAGTGTGGCCCTAATGCCGTTTGGGGGATCATACAGATGCCTCCGTCAGCAGCATTTAGACATCAGAGACCGGAAGAGAAGAGAAAGGGCTAACAGGATCTTCCCCATTTTATTTTAATGCCTGGCTCACGGTTGTGTCTGTGGGAGAGAACTGCAGGCATCAGCCAATGGGCATAACTCAGAACACCAGGCAGCCACTGAATCTGGAAAAGTGTTTCACTTCTGCTTGCTGTGGTTTTCAGTTTACAAGCTGCATTTCACATCACAAACCTCTTTTGAAATCCAGGATTCACTTGCAGTTATTTTTCCATTGTGGTCACAGCTGAAATTTCTGTCAATTGAGACGCGTTCGCATTTAGATTCTCTGTAAATAAAATAGTATAAACTGGACTTGAGGAGTGTGTTCCAGTGATGATGGGACATATGCTCTTAAGTGGGCACACATTCTGCACCACCAATCCATTCTCTATCTCCACACTTGCAGCTGTTACGCAGCAGGGAAACACTTTCTCGAAGCAAGTGCAGCCTCGTGTTGTGCTACCATGCTGCTGCTGGTGGTGGCGGCAGGACGCGGAGTGGTTAGTGATAGCAGAGGGGCCGTTTCCGGCTAGGTTAGTGCCGAGTGCCGTGGGAGGTACGGAGGCCAACGCAAGTTTTGGTGAGGTGTCCACGTTCAGCCTCCCAGGACCCGCACACTCCCAGTGACGCAGCGTGCTTTGAATGGGCCCGAGTGCAATCACTGGAATGAGGCCCTCTGTCCAATATCCACCCTTATTCACCCAATTGTACTGCCTGCACACTCGATAGCTACTCGACTGACATGCTCCTCATCGCTCAACACTCTCACTGCTTCCACTGCCAGTGATCAATTATGATTACCAGGGATCAAAATGATCACAAATGATTCTGAGTGGCAGTCATCTCCCACTTATGCAAAGTCCTTCCTCCAACCTCTAAAAGCTTTTACCTCTGATCCAATTTCCTCCAATTCTCCCACCCCCCTCACTTCCTCTTGCAACTACTGTCACAGCTCAGGAAGGTTGCTGTTTTTCCGCTACGGCTCTTAAATCTGGAGTGGCCTCTCCTTGCCCTGTTTCTCTCTCTCTTTAAGTGAACATTGAAGGCATCTGTCCCTGTGTATGTTAGCATGGTTAGCTAGGTACGGTGCGAAAGAAGTTAAACATAAAAGTGTGTAACCCACATACACCTGTCTTCACATCAGTGTGCACTGTCTTGACTCTGCGGAAGTGTTTATGTACAATCTCACCGTCCTCTCTGTCTGCGGATCGTGAGTAACAGCTGATGATTACTATCAACCACGACTAGCTCACAAGAATACTCTGGTTATCGTGACAAAAACTGCTTCAGCACCACAACTTCACCGATATTCATGCTCTCACTGCCTTATGTTAAATGTGGTATTTCTAACATATTACCCTTTTGATATATTTATTTCACACATGTTCATTGTGGGACCTGTACATTGTAGTGTGCTCTATATCCATGCTGCACCTCATCATGCCCACGCCTGAGTGCTAATGAGCTAATGTGTGAGTGGCCAAGGCGTGGCTGCCGTTCCTGTGAACTCCACAAACGAAACGTGGCCATGCACTGAAAATTCTGAGCATTGCAATGGGGATGAGGCATGGGCGGTATGGAGCCAAGCCAACTGGCCAACAAAACGCGAGCGCTACCCTTAACCAACTAGCCAACTCGTATTGTTTGGTCCTTGCACTCACCATATCCCTCCCACTTACTCAAACTGTGAAGCCAACCAGCCACCAATACTACTAATATTACTACTACCCTTGACATTACCCAACCAACCAGTCAACCAGCCACTAGCACCAGCTCTACCCCTGACTCTAATGCTTCCCCTAACCCCACCGCCTGTGCTTTACCTCCATTTCATGTTCTGTTTGCATTTATATTTCGGTCAGTGCTACCCTATGCAGGCCGAACAGTGGACACCCCACCGCACGAGGAGAGGGGACACGGCGACAGGATGAAGGCAGTGCGGATCTACGTTGGCGTATGCATTAGCGAGAATCACAATGCATAGAAACATTGGCAGCCTTAGTCTTAGTGTTACAATAACAAACTAGAATCACTCCACAAGCAAGCTCCGTCCGCCACTCTGGGCAGAGGCCACTTACCACGACATATATTTTGACCCGTTTTTGCTTTCGGCTTTCGAGGGTCTCACATTTGGTGGAGCTCTTTGGAGAGGAGAGACACGGCAGCGTACAGCACTCTTTTAACACACGCCACCATGCGCCCCGCACCACAGATGCCCGCTTCCCACGCGACAAGGCGTGCGGGCCTTGTCATGAGGCTGCATTGTCACTTACCAGCCCACGGCGTTGGTGAGCTAGCTACTCCACAGCAGCGGCGACATCGGGCCACTGCTATGTGTGCAGTACATGTGTATCACGTGTCGCTTTACTGCATGGGTGGGCGCAAGATAAATGATAAATAATGATGATGGTGTTGTTTGGAGTGCGCCATAGTGCCTTGGAATGCGGCAAAGATGAAGTGTACTTTTTTAAATTGTCGACTCTACTGTTAGCACTTCGCTGTGACAGAGAAATCGGTTCACGGAGAGGGCCTCCTCTGTGTGTGGCTCTGTGATCAGAGGATTCTGTGTGGAGTGTAGAGTTAAATATCTCAATTATCAGCGAGACATTCTTCAACCTATTGATGTAAATGTAACATAATAGGGATAGCAATTCACAATGATGGAGTGAAGAGTTTGCAGTGAAGTGTCTGGAGTAAGGCAGTAGGTGGGAAGTATGTGGAGCTCAGCATCGTATATCTAGAGTGATGAATCTGTGGTGAGGTGTCTGTAGACTGTATTGCGTTTGCAGTCAGTTGCCTGTATTGAGGGATCTGGTGTCTCCTACCTCTGCCTCGGTCTCATCCTCACTGGGACTCGAGCAGAAGATGGTGTTTAGAGCCACTCGTGGGCTCTCCTGCCCTATAGCATCACACCATGGCACACCATGTCACAACAAAATACGACACACCACATCCACAATACCACAAAACACCATGCCACACCAAACCACTCAACACAGCATACCACAAAACACCAGTTCATGCCACGTCACAACATGCCACAGCATTCCTATCAAAACCATGGTGACATGGTCGCATGCTGGCTCATCATGGTTGAATTTGTATGTGTGACACTGCAATAATCTGTATCTAAAATGTCTGGAAAGTAATTTTGTTTTTTCATCAACCAATGAGGTACATTTCCTTGCATACATCTCCTGCCAGGCTTTCTGGGCCAGGCCACCTAGGCGAGAGGGGAGGGCAGGCCTCGGGCCTCCCAGCCTCTGATTTGTTACACAGACACATTCCTGAATTTCATGGCTAAGTGACTTGTGACTGCATCCTGAACTAAAAGCAACGAAGTTGCAGTGTTTAGCACAGGATGCGCTTGCAGAGCCTAACAAAGTTTTGCGCGATAAAATCGCAACGTCGGCCGAGGGTTGGGCATGTTGTGTTGTGCGGTGTTCCGCCACTCTGTACCTGCCCTCCTCTCCAAGGCCTGTGCTGACAGAGTGTTGGGCGTCTGCTTCATCGCCGATTTGAGCGGTTTCCCATTCGTGCTCTGCTCATGGGAGGCGGGGAGGTGGGCAGCAAAGTGTCCCACAACATGAGTCGTTTGTGCATGACAGCAACATTGTGTGCGACTTGCCTGCTTCAATCATTCACCTGCAGTGCGTATAACATTATCCAGACTACCCCTAAAGCCGTTCACTGGCTCTCACTAACCTCGACATGAACGTAGAAAAGTTTGATCATCAAACCCACCACCACACAAAATAAGAACTATCTATTTAAGTCAGTGGGTCTCTAAATAAGTAATTGGGTGTCTATGTAAGTCAATTGATTTTTTTTATGTAAGTCAATTAATCAACTTGTGAGTCTGTATCTACATTTATTTACCACATAGTACACCACTTCCGATTTGGTCATTCTCCAGCAGCAGTTTAAATGTTCAGGTCACTCCAGTTCACTCTTGCTAATGAGGCTATCCTAGTATCTTGAGTTCTCATCTGGTTAAACAAATACACTTGAACTTGTTTACCAGACTACTTCTGAAGCTGTCCACTGAACATATGGTTGCTACTGTATATCCTTTATTTAAGCAGGAGATGAAATATACCCATGGAGACACATGGCACTGCATGGTCTCTGGATACACTAAATAACTACAGACACTTCATTACAGACTCGTATAAACCTTGCTGATCAACGCTGCCATGATACGAAAGAATAAGACCCCCCAATGCTGGGCCCCACCTGCAGGGTCTTGCCATCATCGTTGGTGCTCAGCACAGCACCGTTGAGTGCTTTGTTGGGGGCAGCGCTGGCGGAGGCGGCGGCAGTAGTGGTGGGTGTGAGGGAGCGATGCTCCAGGTGCTGCAGCCTGCGCTCACGGCCGGCCTGCCGGTCCAGCAGCACCTGCAGCTCGCTGCGCTCCACCGAGCCCAGCAGGATCATCGAGTCTGCAGGTGGGGGACATGTGGAGGACACGCGGGGGACATACGGGATCGCAAAATGAACTCACCCCACACTGCCAGGACACTGGAGGACAGAGTTGCCAACTTAGCGTTTATATCGCTTAATCTCGTGACCTTTTTGTATTCCGTAGCAACAAATTTTGTTAAAGCGACTCACGACAAATCTAGCGACTTTCTGGGATGAGGACATTCTGCCTATGTATGATTGTATGTTGAACTTCTTTTTTACCATACGTAGTCAACCGTGCTAAATAGAGATCCGGGGGAATGACAACAAACTAAACGCAAAAAGCATTTCTAAAGAAATTAGTTTTCAATGTAGATTTAAAAGTGCATTTCTTCAGTAGCTTCCTAATATTGGAAGGAAGAGCGTTGTAGATGGCCGCAAAATCAGATAGCATGCGATGCAGTAACCGTTTTTATTCGATGTTTCGCCAAAAGCCGTTGAGAGGATGCATTCAAGAGTGATCGCAGGTGCGTGTTAAGAATCTTGAATATGAATCCTGCATCTGTTTACTGTGTTTAACACCTAGTAAAATATCAAGTGGTAAAATGTTTCAGAAGGTCTATCTGGTGGCATCTCGTGACTCTTTGAAGTATGTAAGGCGACTTTCTGTTTTAACGAGTCGGTGACGTTGGCGGTGGCCTTTGTGGGGCCCGGCCCTGAGGCCTGGCTCACCAGACGAGTCAACAAGTGGGAAGGACTTGAGGCTGGAGCTGCATAGCAGCTCCTTGAGGTCGCGGTACTTGCACACGTACGAGATGAAGCACACGTCGCGCACCATGATGTCCTCCACAAAGATGTTGTACGTCCTGCGCGGAGTAGTCAAAACTTTCAGTTACTTTCGCGTAACAATGGCTACACGGGTGCAGCACGGGGACTACGCATCATCCAAGTCGGGGACGATCGGGGATGATCATGGCTCCAGAGTTCCCTCGCGATCCACCCTCCAGCATCTCAGCAGTTACACACGGAGGGCAGTTGTTACACTGATAAAGTACGACATGTATTATGTCACTACATGACTGGTGTAGTTACTCCCCTGTGGAGGCGGCTTGTGAAGGGACACTACTGGTTAGGTGGAGGCAATAGCTGTCTGGCAACAAGAGAAGGCAGAACAATGCTCACAACAATGAGCGGAACGCTGGGTGGCTAAATCACACCAAGGTGGCACAGCAAGGACCGCAGGTGGTGTATCTGCCAGTAATCTCATTCAATCGACCCAAAAGAGGTGTTTGTCTCGTGATCTCCTAATAATGAGCCTCCCACACTCCACGTGGCCTCAAAGTACACCTAGCCTGGCACAATCGCCATGATGACATCGCCAGAACTTAGTGGTTAATGTTTTGTTATGTTATGCTCATCACCACACCGGTGATGTTATACACGTGCTACATAAATCATCACACTGGTCAGGCGGCCGGGTGTGCTGATGCGCTCACTCTGTGTTCCCCCAGCCCAAATCGGGCAGGTACGGCAGCTTCTTGATAAGGATGACGCTGTCGTAGAGTGAGGGCTGCAGCGCCTGCGCCACGGCATTGGCGAGGATGACAGCGATGAGCACGGGCAGGATGTGCGAGATCTGCCCCGTGAGCTCGAACACGATCACTGACGTGGACACGGTGTGTGTCACGGCACCCGTGAGCGCCGCCGCTCCTGCACACACAGGCACGGTCTTGCATGCAGGTACACTTGTCTATCGACACACGTAGACACGTTCGACGAGAGACCACCTGAATTTGTTTCCCGCTCACAGCCAAAAACGATTATCTGAACCAGTCCTGGGCCTCCCCCCGGTTGAATCAGCTTTACATGACTACCTGGTGCAGTGTATATACATCAGCACCAGAGAGACAAAGGTGGTCGGAATTACAGCCAAACCACGCCCTTGTGCGTCGTGCCGACCTCACAGGTGCTCGCCAACGACACTTGCCCCCAAAGTCTATGGATGCTGCATGGGGGATCCTTGTTTTTGTGTGTGAACCTAGCAGGCACGTGCATGTACACACCTACGACGGCATAGCCGCCTGGTACAATGTGGTAGACCTTGTCCTCGGAGTGGATTCCGTCCGGGAACCAGGAAGCCATGGTTTCCCCAACGAGGCGGCCGAAGGCAGCTCCTGCACGGGGGAACGGAAGTGAGTGAAGGCTGCACCAAGAGCCATGGAGAGGTATGGAGAGGCACAGAAAAGCACGGAGACACACCATGATGCACGAAGGAGGCTCAGAGACACACGCAGATATAGGAGGCATGTAGGCACACGGGAACACATCAAGACACTCGGGATTGCTTTAAGATGCACGGGAACACATTGGGGATGCGCAGATATACACAAAGAGATGTGCGGAAGCTATAAAAGGCACGGTGGCGAGCAATGAGGAGAAGACATTCGTGTAGGCCGCGGAATCACCTACCGATGACGAACACGGGCATGAATGATCCACACGGCACAGGCATCGTGGTTGCCAGGGCACTCATCCAAAACTGAGGCACAGAGAAGGGTGGCTGCTATCAGCCCCAACAACAGCAGCACAGCACAACAGAGACCAGCACATCAAACTATAGCACAATACAACACAGCGCAATAGACAATAGCAGACCACAACATATGCCAGCCCAGAAAAAGACAGCTCAGAGCACATCAGAGCACAGCACAGGACAATAGCACACACCACGCAGGGGAGAATAGTGCAGCACAAATGCATAGCGTAACACACAATAACATCGCACGATGTGCCAACACCCTGTCATGTTGCAGGACTATGAGCAATCTAACCCTTAAGGAGGGTCCTGTTATATTTTTTTGTTTACCAATTCCATGAATTAGAGTTTGGCTTCATGACAGAGAAAGCCGGGAAACCCAGATAAAATGCACCACGCCCATGAGGGTAACACTCAAAGCTTCATACAGATAGATTCAAGAATCCATGCTGCTCTGCCATCTCCTGGCCTCCTCAGTGTGCATAAACGTGGGGTCCTGGAGGAGCCCGGGACAGCGCCTGGGTCGTGAAACCTCATCGCAGTGGCACCTTCATGATGATGAAGACAAAAAGAATGATGAAGACATTGGCGTTCGGGTGCTTCCAGTGGCTGGCATTGTCCAGAAGGTCGAACTCGTGCGCGACGCCCTCCTTCACCCATGTGCGGTTATCGAACAGCGTGTTGATGATCTCCCTCTGCGTCAGCTGTCAAGGCACAGTACACGGCATGGGCGTCACTCGCACCGCACCCCTACAGCCGCCCACATCGCCCCCCCATCACCCCCGAATGCCCCCATCACCTTCCATTGCCTCCCATCGTCTCCCATCACCCCCCACAGCCCAAAGTAACAGCGTCCTATGCTAGAGACGTGTGCAGTGAGGATGGGAAGGGATTGTGGTCACAGCAGCCACGAGATACACAAAAACAATAACCGCCGTTCGCCACCAAGTGGCGATGATGCCACTATGGCGCTTGTGCCAGGCTATGTGCACGTTAAGGCCACGTGAAGTGTGGAATTCCTGCTGGCAGGTCACAGTATAGACCCAGGTGCCATGGGTTGCCTGACTGAGATGACTGGCTGATGCACCACCTGTGCCCCCTACTGTGCCAACTTGCTGTGCTTTAGCCACTTTGCTCGTTGTTGTGAGCATCGCTCCTCTGCCCCCAGTTGTTGCTGGAGGGCGGCTGCGTCCAACTGCCCAGTAGCGTCCTTCAAGAGCCTCCTCCACAGAGGCCGATCTTGACACCGCTGATACCAGTCATCGGCAAGTCCACTCAGCTCCACATCCTCCTGTGCCACATCACTCCATCTCTTCTCAAGTCCGTACCACACCAATTTAGCCCCCTCTGTCCGGCCGAACAAAAGCTGTTTAGGCATGCGGTGGCTGGGCATTTGGACTATATGACGCAGCCAACGTAGTCTTGCCTGCCAGAGGAGCTCACTGATAGGACTTTGTCCAGATCTTTCAAGGATTCGTGAGCTCCTCACACAATCCAGCCTGGTTAAACTCAAGATGGATCTCACAGGCAGGCCAGTCAAAATGTTTCTAACCGGCAAAGATATTCCATTAGGGGGGTCCACGTTTTGCAAGCATAGAGAAGGGAGGGCATGACCATTGCCGAGAAGATAATGCCGCTCGGCTGATTCGGAGTGAGACCTCTGCTGTCAAATCAAAGCCGGTCATGAGCACACTGCCCAGCTTTGGAAAACTCTCCACTCTCTCCACAACTGCCCCATCACCAATTGGGAGTCGTGGTGGTGTGGTGTTTGATGGCACAAAATACCCAAAATACGAGACACACATATACACTCACACACAGATAGAGACACAAAGACAGTGACACCCACAGATACAAAGACAAAGATACACACAAAGAGACCCACAAAGAGATAGACAGAGAGACACACAAAGAGGTACATTCACTCACAGATATGAGACTCACACGTGCCTGAAAAACACTCTACTCCATAGGGGTTGGGCCCAAGCACCACGTAATTATGAACTTTGTTCACACAGATGCACGTAGTTTACACACAGAGCCCCAGCTGACACACACACACGCAGAACCAAACCAATGTTTGGCACAACACGTGCGAGGAGAGGGAACAAGGAATGCAGGAAGGCCGAGAATCAGACGGAGAGACATAGCTACAAAAGATTCCAAACAAAAGACCATGATCCTCCATAACGGCGAGACTGATTCAAGATGGGAGGTAGTTGAAGGCGTTTGCCAGCATTGGCCCAGCGCTTGCTCAGCTCAGTCCTCGATGCTGATTGGATGGAGAGGAACCGAGTATCTTACTTCTCCTGCCATGAACTGTCCGAACCCAGGTGGGAAGGTGAGTGTGGCGATGATGAACGTGACGGTGGCCGGGAAGAGCAGGCGCCTGAGACACACACGCGACGGAACCGCCTTTACTCACGCATTCTCATACGCGCGTACGTTCTCGTGCATCCGTGTGCATGTGTGTATGTGTACGTAGACAGAATCGCAGGGCAGTGGCGCGGTGCACTAACTTTGCATCACCGAGTTCGTGACGCTGTGGTAATTTCACCACGACTTAGTGGTGAATGGCAGGTACGCACACACACACACAGTGGCAGGTATGCACACACACACAAGATGGCCGCCTGAGGCGCGCGCGCTCCTGGGGCGCTCCCGGGCCGCGCTCCCAGCAGCGGCTGGCGGGGGCCGTTTGTGAGGGAGCCGATGGAGCCGAGGGGGCCGACGGAGCTGGGGGGGGGGGGGGGCGACGGAGCCGGGGGGGGGGGGGCGACGGAGCCGGGGGGGGGGGCGACGGAGCAGGGGGGGGGCGACGGAGCCGGGGGGGGGGGGCGACGGAGCCGAGGGGGCCGACGGAGCTGGGGGGGGGGGCGACGGAGCCGGGGGGGGGGGGCGACGGAGCCGGGGGGGGGGCGACGGAGCAGGGGGGGGGCGACGGAGCTGGGGGGGGGGCCGATGGAGCCGAGGGGGCCGACGGAGCCGGGGGGGGGGGGCGACGGAGCCGGGGGGGGGGGCGACGGAGCCGGGGGGGGGGGGCGACGGAGCTGGGGGGGGGGCCGATGGAGCCAGGGGGGGTCGACGGAGCCGGGGGGGGCCGACGGCGCGAGCAGAGGGAGCCGACACTGACTTTCTCACTCACACCATGCACTGACTCACTCACACATCATGCACTGACTCGCTCACACATCATACACTCGCACAACCACTGACCCATTCACTCATCATACACAGGTTCACTCATCGTGTACTGGCTCACTCGCACATCATACACTCACTCACACTGCCGCTGACTCGCTCACACATCATACACTGACTCACTCATGATGCGCTAACACATCGTGCGCTGACTCACACATCATACACTCACTCACACTGCCACTGACTCGCTCACACATCATACACTGACTCACTCATCATACGCTGACTCACACATCATACGCTGACTCGCACATCATACACTCACTCACGCTGCTGCTGACTCACTCACACATCATACACTGGGAGTGTCGTGCTGCCAGCTATGGCTGCAGTTTTTTGTTGTACGTGTTATGTATATCGTTTATTGTTCAATTTAAAATCACAGTTCCTATGATTACTGTTGTTACATTGTTTTTATAGCTTTATTTTGGTGATTCGAAAACATATGTTTAATCTAAATTGTCTTATGGTTGTTGTTGTTGGCTTGCACCACATTGATTTTTGCACACAGCGTTTTAATAATTTTTTGGTGTGTGGAATATTTGCTAGTTTATTCCAGGATGTTTCTGTTACGCGTCGTCGCTTCAAGATGTTCTGTGTTCAAATTTTGTCTGTTGCGGTTGCACCCGACTTAAGAGCCGCATGGCTCACAGGGCTATACCTAATAAATGAAACTTTAAACTATTGCATGACTAAATGCATACGTGCATGCATGTGACAGTGCTGGCATGGCTGTCAGCACGCTAACCAAAATCGTATAATCTGGATCAACTGCCGCAGATAAACACAATCACCATGCCCGTGCATAGCCCCATGAGCAGAGATGCTCTCTAGTATAGGTAAAGGTACAGCCCTGCAATTGCTGGCTCACGCCATTGTTGGCAGAGGGACCTCCACTCGAGGAAGCACTAGAGAGCCCCTCTAGATTGTATTAAAGAGCTACTCTTTCACACTGGCCACACAACCTGGAAGCGTACATTCTATCGTACTGTAATGTGTACGAATGTATAGGCCACATATTTCAAAGACAATTGAGACAACAGTGTTTCCCCGGGAATGACTGGGAGGACCGGGTATCAGTGCGGGAAATGAAGGCCTCACTTTTTCATGAAGAACTTGTTGATGGCCTTGTTCCTTCGGAAGAAGAGGACGATCCTACGGTTGAAGTAAACGAAGAGTGCGCCGACCAGACCACACGAGATCCTAGCGCAGAACACAGCCGCAGCTTCAGCACCAGGCTCACCACAACACTCTCTCCAGCTCAACACTCAACCACAACACACTTACCACAACATACACTCACAACAGATCACTCACCAACACAACACTCTCAATGCAACATTCTGACCACAACATGCTCACTTACTGTCAGAACATACTTACTACAATACTCTTGCCAACACTACACTCACCAACACAATGCTTACACCACAATACTGTCACCAACACAACAAACCACCCATCAGCAACGCTCTCATTATAACCCTATCACCAAACCGCCCTTATCCCAGAGCACGTCCTCACTCTTCTCACCACCACAGGCTCACCCTTGACCCAAAGTTTACGTGGACCGCACTCATGCAGGGCAACGGGAGCCTTTAGGCAAGGTGCTGCATGGTGACCATTAGCGGCGGCGTGCGAGTGTTTGTGTCGCTGAGTGCGAGCAGACAGGGTGAGGCGCGCACCCGATCACCACGAAGGCCGGCAGCTCCTGCAGGTCGAATGGAAAGTCGATCCTGAAGTTGGTCTTGAAGAGCGCAGTGATGGTCTCTGTGGACAACACCGCGATCAACGGGGGTAGCCGCGCGCCCCCCTCGGTGGGGGGACACTTGTGCCGGTGGTTGCGCATGGCTCGTGTTCTCGTGCTCGTCCGCGCGCATCGCAACAGCGCCACTGACCGGCGTCGTTGTTCCACACGGCCAGCACGCGGAAGATGAATGCGCTGATGGTGGCGGCGAAGAAGCCGCGCCAGTAGTTCCTCACGGCAAAGTAGGTGGATGTCACTTCGATGCTGAAGAGCACACCTGCCGGGGAGATGAGGCGTCAGGTGCACTCATCCAGCCACACGCACAATCACACCTCTACATACACCCACCACCTTTATATACAATGACAAAGATCCCCTGTATAGCTTTAATAGACTTTTGAGGCAAGTGCTGTTTGCGAGCATCTATGAAGGCTGGCAAAGTACACGAGGGGGTGGGTGGCTACCACGCCCGACCACCTTTGTCTCCCTAGTGGCGATGTTTTTACACACCGCACCAGGTACTAATTTGAGGCTGAATCGACCTAGAAAAAGCCCAGGACTGGCTCAGATAATCGTCACTGGTGTTGGCCATGAGCGTGAATCGAACTTTGGTCACCAGATTTGCAGCGCACTAACTGCTACACTTCCGCTCCCAACTCTACATACAAAAAAACATACAAAGACCCCCATGTAGCATTAACACAATGTTGGGGAAAGTGCTGTTAGCGAACACCTTTGAAGGCCAGCACGGTATACGAGGTGGTGGGTGGCTCACACCACGCCTGGCTGCCTTTTTCTAGCGCGCTGACCGCTACGCCACACTTCTACATAAACCGACACCACTACATACAGCCACACCTTTACAAACACCCACACATATATACTCACACATTCACCCCTGCATACATCTTCACACACTTGGCCACACTTGCCTGTGTGACATAGGCTGCCCTGCATCCAGGTTGTTATACAACTGTGTGTTGGTGTTGTGTGTTCACCCTAGCCTGTCCTCTGCCCACTGAGAGCCCCTAATCATGTCTCCTTGAGGTTTTCTGGCAGTGGAACGGAGCCCACTCCTCGCGGGTATCAGTGACCGAGAGACTCTCGTGAGACGATTACAGCTGAATGGTGGCCCTGGTAATGCCCGACAAATGAAATGCATCCGAGAAGATATCCACCGCAGAGATGGAGTGATGGAATGAGCTCGTGTGCGGGAGCAGTCGATTGACCATGGCTGCTGCTGCTGCTGCTGAAAATAAATGATGAGGTGGCTTTCTCTGCTGAACAATGCATTGGAGCAAGAGGTTTAAAGGCAATAACAATGATTATGTGCGGAGTGATTGCTTAGCTTAATAGACAGGAACTCGAGCATTAACCCCTCGTACGCACAGTCAGTATTTTCCGAGTACTCAATTTCCATCCCAAACGCAAAGCAACTCCTTCAAAGATTATTGGCCAAACGTCGCAATTGCTGGGCCCAAAAAAGAGATTCTTGAAACTCTGAGAGCCAGATCTGGATCAATAATTTACATGACTGGTATTATCCATAATAAATGGTTTTCGGGTTATATCACGTAAATATAAATGTGTAGTTAACCCACCACCACCTGACACAACCAATTAGTAAGGTTGATCACAATATTCTCAGATCAAAATAATATGTATGGAGGTAAGTTGAGCTTCCTTCGTGCTGTGCGTGGCCTGAGCGTGCTAATCGGAGGTGCGGGGTAGGACAACAAACTAAACATAAAAGCATTCCACTATATGTTTATTAACTGTGAATAACCAATCCAATAAAAAATACTGCATATTCTCAAATTAACATGATCCATAGACTCACAGTGATGACATCACCTTTACTCTATTTAAGACCAAAACAGGAAAACATCTTCAGAATTCTGGCTAATTGCATAATGAAGCTGCTTGCAATCACCAGCGAACGTTGTACTCGAATACCAAATGTTGTGGGTTTACTCTCCAAAACACTGGTGTGCTGAAGTAGTAACTAATTGGCATGTTTTGTTGACGTAACAAACCTTACTAATTGGCTGTATTGGGTGGTGGCGGGTTTAACGACATTTAAATTTACACGATCTAACCCAAAAACTTATGATGGATAATATTGGTCGAGAAAACCTACGTGTTAAATTACTGGTATTAACAGAATCTTACATAATACACCATCAAAAGAAGTGGAGATGTATGTATGTTGAACTTCTTTCGCATTGTACGTCGCCAACCGTGTGAATTGGAGGTGCGAGATCTTGGTGAACAGAGTAAACAGCCACTGTGAATGTAAACAATGCTTAACTCTGCGCTTTGATGCTGACTAAACTAAATACGAGGAAAGCATGCAGGTGTAGAACATGGGCAAAAGCAGGGCTCCATTTCTCACGCGGTATTTTTCGGAACGCTACTAGACTGGGCTTGGAGCAAGGATTATCGGCGTAAGGCACGACCACAGTAGTAACAAGGTACGCATATCCATATAAACAGGTTTGCACATGTAAAATATAAAACAAGGTGAGATGGACGCATCGCCAAACTCTTTCCCGGGTCAGCATTCCAGACTCTGTTCAGGTTGAAATGATGCCCTGGATAGAAATTAATCTGACATGTGTGAAGACGAGGCCACAGGGCGCATGGGTTAATGATCTGCCCCGCACACTCGTCGTACGTACTACGCCTTCCCTCCCTCGATCTCACCCACCAACGTCCCCCCCATTCCTCCCCTCGTCCCCGTACAGCGGTGAGAGTGTGCGCCGTGCGAGTAAACTTGCCTCCGAGGGGCGTGCCGAAGCAACAGCCCACTCCGACGGCACAGCTCACAGTGAGGGCATCGGGCAGGCACGTGGGCCTCTACCCCGGCAGCCGTGGGGAGGACAGAGAGCACAGCGCAGGGACAGTGGAGGAGCGTGAGGCCACGCGGGGCCCAGTGGGCCGCCGCGCCGCCGGCAAGGAGGGGTTAGCGACAGGGTGAACGGGAGACCTCTGGAAACACACGTCGAGGTTAAGGCGATAGAGGACACAGAGGACAAACAGCGCAGAGTAGAAGGAGGAGGCGACGCTCCTGACGCAAAGGTTGGAGGTACACTCGCTTGAGACGGAGCCGTGGGGTTGCTGCAGAGTGACATTTTTTCATGTCGTGTTTTTGGATTCCATCAGCAATGGAAGTTAATCTTCTTTGGTTCTTTCGGTAAAGTCACGTAGAATGAGAATAAAATAATAAATTGATAAAATAAAATAACACAATAAAATTCTCACGACGTTTCGGCCACAACACAAGCGGCCTTCATCAGGTGAAGGGACGAGACTGTCTGGAGGACAGCGCTGTCCTCCAGACAGTCTCGTCCCTTCATTCTACGTGACTTTACCGAAAGAACCAAAGAAGATGAATCCTTGCAGTCACAAAAGCTTTAAATCGAAATGGAAGTTAATCTTTTTAAAATTGAGGGTCGTTGGATTTTGTAAAAAATCGCATTCCATTCTAATGACTTCTACAGGCGACAGAGCCTCATGTTATGTTGAGTAACAGAGACCATTTCAATTAGGGTCTCTCCATTCACCCCTCCCCCCACAAGCATAAGTCGATGCTGCTTGTTGCCATGTGAAGAGCTTGTTCGCCTTGCTTCAGATTGGGATAGCAAAATCCACTTGAATATATATTGTTTTGTGTGTGCAGTCAAAGGTGACCAGGCTGAGACCATAAACCAAACTAAGCTTGAATTGGTTAAATCTAGGCGAGGCCACCAAAGATGTAAATTGAGACATCCCCAGCTCCGTGTTTTAACATTGCTCTAATGAACCGACATCGCACTGCTTCCAGTGTAGCACGGCTCAGTGGAAAGCGAGTGGGTTAGTATCTTAAGCCGTGACCCCTGACCCCCGATGAACACTCAGGAAGATGGCGGCCGAGCCACCCAGGACTTGCCTCCGACAGGGGCGGCAAAGCTGCAGCCAACGCCCACGGCGCAGGCGGCCGCCAGCATCTCAATGTGCCGTGACTCGTTCTGTGGCCCACACCCCGGCAACGGGCACCAGCGCCGACATGGCCGCACCGGGGCAACAGCACACACGCATGCGGGGTTAGAGGCAGCAAAGCCACACAGCAAGCCACTACTACACACACAAAAGCACACTCACACAGGCAATGGCACCATGTCAGATTATCGGCGCTGGGCCGCAGCTGTCAGAACCGTAGAAAAATAGCCAAGGAACAATCGATGCAATAGTCTACAGTGTGTGTGAATAGCAGTCTACACTGTGCATCACTAACACTTTAACGGGAGAGTAGCCGTGCCCGATACGTGTGCCTGCCCACGTGGCGCGTGGTGCCTTGCAGCACGCGATGGTGTAATGTGAGCCCTACTCACACAACTGTTAGCGTTGTGTCTGTTTTCCTATTTTATTCCAGTTGTGCTCTTGCCATATGGCGAGGTGTCCACTGAGAACTCTCACAAAGCACTGCATCACCCTTCTGAGATCCCTTAGAAAGATCTCTTATCCACATTTTCCCGCATGCCCTGCTACAGAATTTTTCATTGTATGTCAGTCAAACTTAAAGATAAATAATGTATTCGGTAAGGCTGTGTTGGTAGTGGTGCACAAGCACAAAAAAACTGACATGTTGACTTTCATTGACAGTTAAAATTCTCAGAGCTGGAATGTTTGCAAAATTCAGTAAAAAGTCGAAGTTAATACATTATAATGAGAATCGTTGCACAGTGAATTGTGACCAGGCTGAGACCATCAACCTCCGACTCTTGAGAACCCAGTTTGATCCCTGGTGGCTCAAACCTGGATTCGAGCCCAAAAACTCAGCAGTGCCAGCTCAGTGCTATGACCCCTCGATTAAACAAATATATTTTTAAAGGTAATTTATGAATGAAAACAAAAATTACAAAATATGAATGTCACTTAATTTTAATTACTTTAGAATTCAGTGGGAGAGGCAGAACAAATAAAATGGCCCCACAGGCACGGGCGCCTGTTGCGTCTCGGCCAATCGGCAGTCTTCGTCTCTCTCGGCTGGTCACGCGCTCGTGTGTGCCGGCGTTTAACACACACACAGGGCTGCTTTCAACACTATTGTATTACTTGTCTGACCATTTTGAGACTGTGCCTGGGAGATCTTGTTTGATTAAGCGCTGGAAAAAAAGACATTAATTTTGGCTCTGAATGAATGCAGTTAGTTGTTTTTTTTATAATTATGAAAGCTAATCCATTTCACAAAACAACTCAATGACAAGTAAACTCAAGGCGTACACTAAACAGAGACACACTCTCAATAGATACCCTCTCAACAGAGACCCCCTCTCAACAGACTCACTCCCTATTTGAACATGACCATTATTGTCATCTTTTCTGTCACAAATTCTGCCCCTGTTTCTTCGGGACGTCACTGAGTAGGGTGCTTCTGGTGAAAATGCATAAATAATGCGCCAATTTCTCATGTGACGCAGTTATTTTTGCACTGATTTCTATTTTCTTTATTGCTGTCGTTTATTTCTTTTGATTTTGTCATGTTGATGACCCAAGCCACTCGTGCAAATGAGACTGATCCTGGTCTCTAGTCAAACAAATAAAATTTACCTAAGTCCCTTTCTTTCTGCAAGCAAAGCATTGACGTTGGCACAAGCGCTAATCCTGCTGCTGCTAACGTTATTAGTGTTCCTGGCGTGACCCCCGCGTGGATCTTAATCCGCAGAGCGTCAGGATCAGAGGGGAAGGAGACGGAATGCCCTGTTCCTCCGGCAAATCTTTCTGTGCGCACTCGAGTACGCGGGCACATGCCTTGGCCCGCGGCACTGGCTAGACGCTCGGGCACACGCTGCTCGGGTGAACGCTCACAGCCGGAACACGCGCCACCGTGCGATGTAGAAGATGCACCGCGTTGGACTCCTGCAGTCGTCGATGCTGTCACACGAACCCCAAGCTGTGTTGTAAATTAAACACTGCCGTACAGACGAAAGACTTTAACCAAATCATCCAGAATGTACCCTATCTCGTCCGGTCTTGGAAGTTAAGAAGGTTGAGTCTGGATAGCGTTTGGCTGGCGACTGCCATGCATGACAGTTTTGTGGGCTGCAGTGCTACGTTGTGGGCTGCAGACGGCATTGCAGCAAAATAAATTGTTGAACTGTACTTCTATACTCCCACCTCTACACTCCCAGAATTCACCAAACCGCACTGGCCATTGTGGTGAAGTATCATCAAATAGCCTCCAGGGCACACACAGCGTGGGGAGGACCTCATCCAGTGGTGCATCGGCAATAAGGGGTGCACATTGACACTCAGATCCAAGTCGCATTGCAAGTCGGCCAAGAGGTGACGTCACGGCAACGTCACAGCCCGGCCAATGAGGGCGCGACACTCTCTCCAGTCACAGCACCGTGCTACGGAGCAGGTGCCCAGATGTCCAACGGGACACATTATGTAACACGGTCTTCATTTCATTTCCACCGCGCTCCAAGCTTCATCAGCCATGCCCTTAATTCTCTGAAAATGTGTCAAAACATTTTGCCGAGGTTGGTTTAGCCGTGCTTAAGTTGCCGTGGCTACAGAATCCGCGGGTAATTGCTTTTAAAGGCATTGGGAGAGCACGGGGAAGGGGCAGTTCCCACTGCGGACGCACGGAGCCGCGTTGAGGTGATGATTCCAGCCTTCTCTACGCTGCCTGGAGAAACGGTCGCTCTGAGACGCGTGATCAACAGAGCAGATTTAAGAGCGCTTGGTAGTGGTGGTCGTCATTTGCTGATGAGCAATGAGGCAGTGCCCATCTCCTGTTTACAACCCTGAGCTAGGAGTGGGAATTCAGTATTTGTATGACAAGGACGAATCGATCCATAGGACAATCACTATTGACTTCCCCACAAAGTGGTATGTATTTGATCAACCCTAGAGGGATAATGGGATGAGTCAGTCACCACCCAGGATATAACTCCCATCCTTCTTATTGCGAGCCGCGTGCTCTACTGCTGAGCCGCCAAGTAAGTTGTACTACGCTGCAATGAACCTGGACACACATTGCCAAAGGTGATAGTATACAAAAGGCATCTGAGCCTCCCCGAGGATGACTCTGCCCAAAATGAGTGCGGCGTTATAATGAACCTTAGCAATTAGTCTGGATAGCGCTTGGCTCTGTGCCCAATTCAATCGTTAATAGGTACTTGCTAACACGTGTTCTGATATTCTATAAAGCTTAATCGAGGTTGTCTTGATCTACGCATAGAAGGGACAGTAGGACTGCTTGAGAATGCAGAGATAAATAACCCACGCCAACAGAACGATTACGCTTAATTATGTCCCAAATTTGGGAAAAGTTCAAATATATGAAATATCACACGACAGAGTGAAAAGATAATATTAGGTGCGAAGATACTCTGACAGAACCCGAGACTCATGATTAATCTTGGGTTCAACTGCTGGTATCGCTTACTTTTGCTGCTCTAGCGAGTCAGAAATAAGTGCTCATAAATGAACTGCCCATCTCTACATCAACACTCGTGGATCACCGAGGGCCCTCGTAGACTACAGGAGGTCCTGTGGCCAGGGGGTATAGATGAGGCTGGCCCCAGGTGTGGGATGATGCTATGACCATGTCAAGGCCACCTCAAACTGCCTCAAGGACTGCTAATTTTAAAATGATTAAATGAATAATTTCACTCAACAGGAATAAGATGCATAATTTAATTTAGATACTCTCACCTTTGGGGGAAACAATTATGGAAATATTTTTAAAATATTGTAATGAAAGCAGAGACTGGGAAGTGATCGCTGCCGAACAGCACTATCAAGACGGATGCCAGCACTGCCATCCACGAATGCGGTCGAATATTTCTGTTGAGAAATGCTGAGGCTGACCGATATTTACACGGCGGTCGTTTTAGCAGTATATTTAAGGCCCCGCTGGCCAGCACAGTGCCAGCTATTTCCGTGCACAGCTCCAAACACGGCGACAGCAGGATGCGCGGTAATGAAATTTCACCCCAGGAAACCGAGAAGCTGCACCTCACGTTCACCAGCAGCGCCACTTTCTCTGTTTCACTCTCCCATGCTCTCTCCCCGGCTTAGGTGTACTGCTACAATCACTTAACCTTCTAACGACTGCGGAGTTGCACCTCTGTTGTATCACCACACGCGAACCTGCACGCGCTGTGGCGGCGAGGCTACCAATAGCCAGGGCATTACATTATAATATCCTCAGAAAGATGCCCAGGGCTGTCATATGAAAAGGACTGCGCTGCCATGCAACCCCTAACAAGGGTAAAGGAGCTCGGCCTCCACTGCTCACGCCCTCGTGCCAGCAGCGGCGCCACATCAATGCATCGCCGACAGCCACGGGATGTACCCTGCGATTCATTCGCATTTTCAAGAAACTTCTCTGGCTGTGAAACGGAGCTATTTAAATCACGTGAGCTGCAGCTGCTGCACCTTATAAAATCCAGGCACGAGGTGAAACAATTGCTCGGATTAATTAGACAGGGCACTCAGCGCTATTTATTTTCTATTCGCAGCTCCCGTGAAACTGTTTACAAAACTCAAGCGAAAAGTTTATTTTAACCCCCGAGCAGGGTGTGCGCCACACGCACTCTCGTATCGTTGACACTCCTAATTTAACAGCGGTGCGGCAACAGCTGGAGAACGTGTTGGCTCGGGTGCGTGCTGGCACAAGGACGCGCCGCCAAGCGGCCACAGCCCGACATGGGGAAAGCGTCCGCTGGCACGGACCCCGCTCCGTGTGTGCTCAAGGGATCGGAGGAGTCATCGGCCGTGGAATTATCGCCGTGTTTCATGGCGCGCGGACGCCGTGAGTTCGCCGGAGAGGTTCGGCCAGATAGCGGGTGACGAAAGATACATGTCCGCGTTTAAAAGGACGACGACACGTCGCCATCGCGAACAACGCACCGGCAGTGTGGGTTAGACATCTGCGAAGAAGGGGTTCGAACTGCGGAAGAGTCACAGTTTCATCCTCTTCCGTCTCCTGGACTGGAGGAGAGCCGCCATGGGCCACACATGGAATGTTCCCAATGAGCGCGTGAACAGAATCTCCCAGCCAGCGAGTCCATGAATGGTCACATTTGGGGTAGCAATTCAATTACAAAAATAATAACTTTTTTCTTGACTTAAAGCTTTCATGATTGCAGGAATTCATATTATTTGGGTCTTTCGGTAAATTCACGTCGATAGGTTCCTCCTGATGACGATCGCTTGTGTTGTGATCGAAACGTCGTAGTTTTTGGTTGATTTTATTTTTTTGAATCTATCTACGTGACTTTACCGAAAGACCAAAAGAATTAATCACTTTTTTTGTTTCATTTTCTATGTCTAATTTGTATTGGCTATGCCGTTGTTTGCACGAGATGAAGTTGGCACTGTCTCGTTTACATTGAATGTTTAATTTGTTCCGCCTGGTTCGTTAAGCTCTCTGCCCTAAGCAGATCACCAGCTCCAACTGCAGGTGTGGCCATTTTATTGTTTCAAATCATCAGCACAGCTGTGATGAATGAGCTCCCCATCCGTGTGCTCAGTAACGACGGCCCCACAACATTCGCAAGCGTGCGCTCACAGGCAGCAGCAACACACACGGTAACGCAATAGTGATTTGTTACAGCGTCCAGACAGACATCTCGTAGCACACGTAAGTCCTCGGGACGCTGAGCTGTTTGCACATCAGCACGCGTGTGCACACCAGGCAGGCGGTCGTAACTACGTGGCTACCGCTGTCAATCGGTAAACTCCCTAACACGGCTTGCATGGCTTTGTGGGTATCACCTACGATACCCTGAGTAGTAGAATACATTTGCTCTCGTGCTGCGCACACAGTTTTACGAGTCTATGGGGCTTCTCGTTGTCTGAAGTGGGCTCATTAACGTGGACCGTCCAGAGTTATACAAGCTGATGCTGGGGGGGGGGGGGGGTTGGCGCTCACCGTCGGGTTAACCTGACACACGGTGGGCGAGCTCACCTGGTAGATGCCGCCGAAAAACGACATGAATTTACTGAGCAGCGTGGCGCACACGCTGGCGACATGAACAAAGGGGCCCTGCGGACACAATGGAGAGAAGGTACGTCAGCGAGACATGACAACGACATCGGCACACCACCTGGCGAGATAAGCACAAGTCCCGGTGTCAGTCCACCGTTATGCGATGTGCTCCTCACACCATGCGCATCGATGGGGGGCACAGGACAGTACAATAATGGACTTTGCTGCCATGCCCTCTGCGGCTTACCACGTGCCCCAGCAGTAGCAGCCTATGACAATGTGTTCATGTGTGATGGTGGTCATGGAACCAAGAGATATCCAGGCTCAAACCTGCTTAACTTCCAAAATCTGACGGGATCAGGGGCATTCAAGTGCATTTGGTCACAGGCAGAGAACACATTAGTACACATCAACACAGCTCACATCAGTTTGTGTGCTGTTAGTGAGCGCTGTATCAGTGCTATATCAGTGAGCTCTGTATTCGTGAATGCTGTACTAGTAAGAGGTGTATTAGTGAGTATTGTATTATTGAGTGTTGTATGTCAGCAATGGATTACCCAACACTGCATTCGTGAGCTCTGTATTTGTGAGCGTTGTATTAGTGAGCTGTGTTCATGAGAACTGCATTATTGAGAACTGTATTAGTGAACATTATGAGCGTGTGCTGTACTTACAGGCTTTGTATTAGTGACTGTTGTATTAGTGAGCAGTGTATAAGTGAGTGATGTATTAGTGAGCTTTGCATTAGTTATTTCTGTATTAGCACTGTATCGGTGAGTGCAGTATTTGTTAGTGCTGTATTAGTAAGCATGGTATTAGTGCTGTGTTGATATGGGCTGTATTCGTGAGCCTTTTATTAATGAGCTTTGTATTAGTGCTGTATTAACGAGTGCCTTACAGATGTGTGCTGGAAGTAGTGAGGCAGTGCTATGCAGTGGAAAGAGCTCCAGCATTTGTCGTATGAGTTAACAGCGGCGTGATCGGTCAATTTAACGGCGCTCATGACGTTTGGCGATGTGCCTGGTGCAGGCACTCTGCACGCTCAGTGTTTCAAGTGTATTTTTTTAATATATGTAATGTAGCTCTCACAGACACCGTCAGACTACACGGCGCCCACCTCAGGATGATGAGGACGACCCATTCCAAGGCAACCCACAACGACAGCCCCCAGGTCCGGTCCGCGCCGGCTCTTATCCCTCGCACGACCCGGCCACGCCCCTATTCCCGAACTCTCTCCAAGTCTTGATTTAAAGCTTTCGTGACTGCAGTAATTCATATTCTTAGTTTTTTCGGTAAAGTCACGTTGAAGAGAAACAACAAAATAACAAAATATATATTTTGTTATTTTGTTGTTTCTCTTCAACGTGACTTTACCGAAAAAACTAAGAATATGAATTAACAAAATATATATTTTGTTATTTTGTTGTTTCTCTTCAACGTGACTTTACCGAAAAAACTAAGAATATCTCTCCAAGTCATTAAGGTTTCGAGGCTGACGTTTGGCAACTCGAACCTTCAGCTCCCTCCACAGATTTTCTATGGGATTAAGGTCTGGAGACTGGCTAGGCCACTCCAAGACCTTAAAGTGCTTCTTCTTGAGCCACTCCTTTGTTGCCTTGGCCGTGTGTTTTGGGTCATTGTCATGCTGGAATACCCATCCACGACCCATTTTCAATGCCCTGGCTGAGGGAAGGAGGTTCTCACCCAAGATTTGACGGTACATGGCCCCGTCCATCGTCCCTTTGATGCGGTGAAGTTGTCCTGTCCCCTTAGTAGAAAAACACCCCCAAAGCATAATGTTTCCACCTCCATGTTTGACGGTGGGGATGGTGTTCTTGGGGTCATAGGCAGCATTCCTCCTCCTCCTCCAAACACGGCGAGTTGATGCCAAAGAGCTCCATTTTGGTCTCATCTGACCAGAACACTTTCACCCAGTTGTCCTCTGAATCATTCAGATGTTCGTTGACAAACTTCAGACGGGCATGTATATGTGCTTTCTTGAGTAGGGGGACCTTGCGGGCACTGCAGGATTTCAGTCCTTCACGACGTAGTGTGTTACCAATTGTTTTCTTGGTGACTATGGTCCCAGCTGCCTTGAGATCATTGACAAGATCCTCCCGTGTAGTTCTGGGCTGATTCCTCACCGTTCTCATGATCATTGCAACTCCACGAGGTGAGATCTTGCATGGAGCCCCAGGCCGAGGGAGATTGACAGTTCTTTTGTGTTTCTTCCATTTGCGAATAATCGCACCAACTGTTGTCACCTTCTCACCAAGCTGCTTGGCAATGGTCTTGTAGCCCTATTCCAGCCTTGTGTAGGTCTACAATCTTGTCCCTGACATCCTTGGAGAGCTATTTGATCTTGGCCATGGTGGAGAGTTTGGAATCTGATTGATTGATTGCTGCTGTGGACAGGTGTCTTTTATACAAGTAACAAGCTGAGATTAGGAGCACTCCCTTTAAGAGTGTGCTCCTAATCTCAGCTTGTTACCTGTATAAAAACACCTGGGAGCCAGAAATCTTTCTGATTGAGAGGGGGTCAAATACTTATTTCCCTCATTAAAATGCAAATCAATTTATAACATTTTTGAAATGCGTTTTTCTGGATTTTCTTGTTATTCTGTCTCTCACTGCTCAAATAAACTTACCATTAAAATTATAGACTGATCATTTCTTTGTCAGTGGGCAAACGTACAAAATCAGCAGGGGATCAAATACTTTTTTCCCTCACTGTATATTGTAGTGTATTTAATGTACATTATGCACGTTGGTTACAGCATGATCTTATGTGGCTCATGGGAAAATGTAATTGAAGATCCTTGCCCTATATCAATGGTGCCATGTGCCACTCCTGTACCGATGGTGCCATCTGCTGCCCTCTTTACCAGTGCTCCCACAATCCTGTGCGGTCGCCCGCTGGCCGGGCACGCGATCCATTGGCCTCACCTCCTTGCCAAGCGGCATGTTGCTGCCCAGGGAGCAGGAGAGGCCGACCACCTTGGCCACAAACGTCTTGAGAGTGAGGTACTCCTTGAGCACCACACCCCGCAGGATCGTCTTCATCTCAGGGATCCCGGAGCCTATGAGCGATCCACATGCCACTCTATGTTACATGAGGGAGGTGATGCGGCCTAGTCGTAACACATTTGCCGCTTGTTGTAAAGGTGCATGGTTCTAATTCCAATGGCCGCCCTAGTTAATACTATGGCAGCAATAACCACAACAACACTACGCTTCACAGTGGACGTTCAAAATCCCCTGACGTTATTCGCAAGAGTAGGCCTGCGTAGGGTTCACATTTAACATAATAAAAAATCACCTGCAAAATTACAAAATTGGGATAATACACATAGCGGCAATCATCGCCCCCTACATCAAACAATGAAATATATTTAAGTACGTACAAGTTAAAAAGCAAATGTACTCTCAAGAAGAATTGCAATAAAAAATATGAAAACATAAAATCTCGTCAATGATTCCCATGCTGTCTGGGGCACTGTTGGAACTCACAATACATCTATTGCACATCCTCTCCACCACACACTGAATGTACCTAAGTTGAGCTTAATTTGCACTGTACGAACCAACCGTGCTAATTAGAGGTGCGGGAAATCCTTCATCACACGTATTCTCCATTACACAACACCTCCAATACTCCCCACGTCGTCAATCACACACCACCTCCAGTACTCACCACCTCCCAGCTCACATCATCTCCGAAAGACCCAAAGAATATCATCTCCAATATTTGATTGATATTAGTAATATCATTTATTCATCCAGGAAAGAGAGTCTTCCATTGGAATGTTTGGCAAATTCCATTCCAAGGAGTGTTTTTGATATAGGAAAAAAACTGGTGCCCTGGAGAAACCCCACACATACGAGAGGACAGCACTCATAGGTCTGCACAGCTGGCCCCACGAACCCATTTGCTGTACTGCCATCTCATGGCGACCTGGAAGCTTCGTGGGCTTGGACGTTTAATCAATCTCTCCTTCATCCACCAACCCCTCGCCTTTAAAAAGCTGGATCAGAGCTGTGCGCCGCCACCACCGCACACGGCTCAACTACAGCAAAGACAAATTAAAAAAAAAACACAATTCTGAGCTTCGTCGCGACCACTTTAATGAACCTACCCCATACTGCACCACGTTGGTCAGTGGGGGTTGGTGAAGGTGGGGAGCGTAGACAGAGGAGCATAGAAGTAGAGTACAACAATGCTGCCCACCACGTAGCCCAACAGCGTAGAGCACCTGCTATGTGTGGCGGTCGCCCACGTGCTACCAATACTCGTGCCGCTACCAAAAGCCTGGGATTCAAACCCCCACCCATGTCCCATCGCACCGCACTGACCAACAGCCTGCGGCGAGACGATCTGGCAGAATCCGGCAGAGAAGGTGATGAGCACCACGGGATAGGTGACCCACGCCAGGTACTGCAGCATCACGTTGTTGTCAAGCTGCCGGAACATCCAGATGTGAGCTGCACGCGGAGACACGCGTGGCACAACCGGTGATGCCGCGGCAAATCATTTCTGGACGCTTCTCTCTGGCCCAGCAAGAGATGGGCTGGTAGGAGGAGACAGGTAGATGAGCAAGTAGGTGTGCAGGTGATCAAGCAGCTGAGCTTGCTGACAAGCGATTGGGCAAGCAGGGGGTTAATGGATAAGCATATGGGCAGGTAGGAGAACAGATAAGCTGGCGGACAAGCATTTGGGTGTTTGGATGAGCAGGCGAGCAAGCGGCAAGTAGTTGGGGGAGTTGGTGGCCAGATGCATATGTGGGTGAGCTGGTGAGCGAGTGAGTAGCCGAGTAAGCCCGCGCCCGCCCTCGTACTCACCCTGTAGACTCTTGGAGATGGCAAAGTCCATGACCCAACTGACTAGCGCCATGACAAGGCCGAGAAGCAGCAGGAAGATCCAGTCCTCGCCGATGCGCGATACGAGGCACTTCCGTAGCTGGGATCTGCACACGGAACCTGGGGAACGTGCACCACTTGGTCACCTTGCCGCCACACACACATGTATACTACATCACGACCCTTATAGTGACCCAGCCACACCCTATACTCACACAAACCTCGTGACAATAGCCCTCACCGTAACCCAGCAACAGTCTAGCCATCACTCTGATTTGTAATGTCACACAACCCTTCACGTTAAACCTAACTCTTAACCCTAACCCGATGAACACCCACCTGGAAAAAAATCCACTCGGAACTCCGATCCTAACCCGAACAAAACTTCTACTCCTTACTCATACTGCGATCCACACCAACTTCCCCAAGGTCCTAACCCGAACCATGAGCATCGGACAAAGCTGCATCCCCAAAAAGAGTGACGCCTTCCCCACATCAGAGCCCTGCGCTGGCACCGTGGAGGACCTGGCTGTGAAATCCGGGTACTCACTCGGTCACCGTGGACCACCACTCGGTGCCATCAGCATAGCGGAGTGAGTGGCTTTGGGTCGCGGGTCACGTTGCACAGCATCGTCATCGTGTCTATTACCCAGGGGCTCATACTGGCATCAGCTGCTGGCATCAGCTGCGTGTACCTCCTGTGAGGTGCCCCACTCTCACATTAGGGCGTGGGGCTGCATTGCGGGCCTTGAAGTGGCCACAGGGCCTGGCGAAGACCCCCGTTGAGGGCCTCTGTTGGGTGAGATACTTGAGGCATGGAGTGGTATCTCTGTGGTATTGTCATGAAAGGGACACTTCAGGACCGGATTTATACAGCAGTCAGATTACTACCCTCTTGGAGCATGCAAACAAGGAAGCACCTAGGCTATGTTCACCAAGGTCCCAGTGCCTGATACCATTGAAATAATTAATTCCAACATGGACTAGACCCCGATACACCTGCACTGGTTAGGCACTGCCTCAACAATACCTACTTTACTTGGAATGGCTCCTTCTACAAACAAAATGAGGGTACCCCCATGGGATCCCCCTTGTCACCAGTGATAGCCAATGTTTTCATGGAGAAATTTGAATCAGACGCCATCCAGACTTCCACCCTCAGACCTTCCCTATGGAAGAGATATGTGGATGACACTTTCGTCATTTGGCCACATGGCCTCCCAGCTCTGAACCTTTTCCTACACCACATAAATTCCAGACATCCCGCCATCAAATTCACCATGGAGGTGGAGAAAGATGGCAAGCTACCATTCTTGGATGTTCTGTTTGAGAGGAGACCTGATGGCTCATTGGGGCATTCTGTCTACAGGAAACTCACCCACACGGATTCCTACTTGAAGCCTGATTCCCACCACCACCCAGCCCAGAAGAATTCTCTCATCAAAACTTTATACCATAGGGCTCATTGCATTTTGGACCAACACCACCTGACCAGTGAGTTAAAACATGTACACCTGGCCCTCAAAAGGAATGGATACTCTGACTGTACCATCCGCCAAGCTGTTTCTCCCTCCATACAGAAACAACCACTTGATACTCCGGTCAAATCCATCACACTACCATATATAGCAGGCGTTACTAAAAGGATTTCCAAAATTCTAAACAAACACAAGATCCAGGTCCGGTTCAATACAGTACACAAAATACGTGATCTGATCCCATCCGTGAAGGATGTCATTCCAGACTTACAGTACCCCGGGGTTTACAAATTGAGTTGTACCTGCGGTGTTTGCTATATCGGGGAGACAAAGCGACATGTCTCTGACCGAATTCGCGAGCACAAATCAGATTTGAAACACGGCAAAACGAATTCTTCTGCCGTAGCTGACCATTGTTACAACGCTGTGGGTGATCACGATATAATTTTCTCCGATACCAAGGTTCTTTGCAAACCCACGGGTTTTTATCAGAGATTTGTTCACGAGGCAATTCAGATCTACAAGCACAGACACAATTTCAACCGAGAAGATGGTTTCAAATTAAGCAACCATTGGAAAGATGTTCTAAATCGAACCAAACATTAAACTAATTTTCAATGGTACAGTATATTTTTCAAGTAGTGGTACCCCAAACTTTCGCAGCTCTTAAATTCCCTTTTCACACCATCAATAGGTAAACTCCCCCCCCCCCCGCACCAACCGGCATGTGCACCCGCATGTACACCACCTCTATGCTAAGTCGGCCAATAAAATGCTATTTTTTATGCCAATTCCTTTGCCAAGGCACCTTGTTTCCTCGCACACAGCTTAAAGATCGCGGTCTGAGCGTGGCTGTGTTCCACTCCAGCGCTGTCCTCGAGACAGCCTGATCCCTTCACCTGATGAAGGCCGCTTGTGTTGTGGCCGAAACGTTATTTTTGTTGTTTTATTTTTTACCTACGTGACTTTACCGAATAGAACCAAAGAGTAAAGAAGACCCTCACTAAGAAAACTCCTATAGAGGTGGCGATGAAGAATTGCTTTATATAACACTGTGTTAAGATTGATAGGTACATATGTATACGCGTGCGTGCATGTATCCATGTACGTGTACGTACGACCTAGAGAAAATCGCCTGATATGCATCTGGCTTTGTCATATTTTGGAAATGAATCTGCATTGAGACTCTATAGTGCTTGGATTACCATGCAAAACAGGTATTATAGGTATTCATATTCTTAGCTCTTTCAGTAAAGTCACGTTGAAGGGAAACAATAAAATAATAAAGTATATATAAAACAATACAAATTTTCACGACGTTTCGACCATAACACAAACGGTCATCATCAGGTGTGAAAAACCAACGGCAAGAAACATTTGAAAGAAGTGGCGGTTCGCATTTATTTATTTTTAAAACGGTGTACTTATTTATATAAAATTTTAAAAAACGTCAGCACCACGGGCAGCGATTTGGCAGTTTATTTAGAAGGACGAGTCCATCTATGTTCTGAAAAGAGGAGGGGGGAGACGAAAAATTAATTTATGCTGTCTGAAAGCCACCGTAAGCGTGAACAATCAATTAAGACCTGAAATGGTTTATCAAATCCTTCCAATGATTGCTAAGCCAGAATCCATCTTCTCGGTTGAAATTGTGTCTGTGCTTGTATATGTGGATAGCCTCATGAACGAATCTCTTATGGTAGCCAGATGGCTTACAAAGAACCTCTGTCTTGGAGAAGTCAATGTCATGTGAGCCTACTGAATTAGAACAATGATCTGCCACGGCTGAGGTGTTGGTATTATAGGCTTTGGGGTTGTGAGCATCAGAGGGCAGTGCAGCAAAATCTATTAGTGTACTATACTTCTATGCTCCCCGCTTTCACCAACCCACACTCCCCAGTGCAGTGCAGGTTGGTGAAGGTAACCTACATGGGAGGCCTTGCTTGAATTTGATGGTCACAGAACACTCACTCATGACTCCACAGAAATGTGTTGTATTCGTGCTTGTAGCCATTTCAATTTTAACTTAACTTGACGATTCCCAGCTCTGAAAAAATAATTTGGCTGATGGACTTGTGCAAATGACTCGCTCAAAGAGAAGTTATGTAAGCCATGGCCTTGTAGGATTTCAGGTGAAGAGTAGTGATGTCACTTTTGGCTTTGGCCACAAAGAAATAGGCGATTCCGCAACATCCAGAGAGGAAACGCTTCGCTCGGTGTACTGGTCCCAATGGCGCAATTGTGATTTAACTTGCGGTAAAAAGTCACAAAACAATATAAAATAATACAACAATCTCCCAAGTGCGAGACTACGTGAGCCATAGCCTGACTCGAGCCCATCGTGAGCAGGAATACGACACAGCATTCAAAGACCACCGCTGGAAAACACATAGGGTTTTGTCAGAACGAAAATAATGAAAACCATGATGTGCTGCACCGTGTTCGACGCGAGCACGTGGCACAAAAGCAGGATGCGGCATTGTGTTCTGGACAAAACGCGATTCCCTGGATGGCCGTCATTTATCAGAACATACGTGCTCATTTTACCCGTTTTGTTTAATTTCCAGAATTCGAGGCGCGGCAGATATGTTACGCCAAGTGTGAGCGCGCGACGACATTTACAACCCAAACTCCACCCTGTCTCCCCCCATCAAAAACAATGCTCCTGCATAACAAGCACGTGCGCACACGCACACACGTAGGGCTCAGAGAGCCAGGCGGCACGGCGCACAGAGCCAGCACTTGTCTCCCGCCCCGTTGCATCACCGCTTTGTTTCATGAACAGAAGGCAATCGTCTCACTGTCATTCCTGTCCTCCCCTTCACCAACGTGAGACCGACGTGACATTTTCCGCCAGTGATGGCAGAAGCCGCGTCACAGGTGGCCAGCGGGGGGTGCCGTGCACAGCGGAGAGGTAGCACTTCGCTTAGCGGCGAATGTCCTCTACTCGATTGGGCGGGCACGCAGTGAGACGAGGTCATTACAATAAAAAAACAAGTGTTTGTGATCTTCAAATCTATGACTTGTGCTCGAACACTGGCACACAAAGGTATGCTCTTGCACATGATGTTACAAAGTATTTATGTAATTTCTATATAGAAACTGCAGACACACATACAGGCGTGGGGGGTGGTAGCATCGATGCACTGCTATAAACCTGGCAACGTCAGATTTCTAGCCACAGCTAACATCAGAAGCGAGTTATATTTGCCAATGGCAAACTTTCATAATCTGCAACCTCGCCCACGTTTCCCCCCGCAGGCTTCTGTGGCAATATGGAGGGAACTCTGACAATGATGTTGCTGCACCTAACCTGGCATAGGGACGTCGTCCTAATCTGCCCGCTTCCATGTCATTGTTTTTTTATTTCCTTTCCGCATTTCTAAGCAACCTCATAAACACGCGGTCGATTAATCCAAATCCTCACCAGGTCGCTTGAGGTGAGCGGAATCCGCTCTCTGCAAACACTCATTAGCAGCGGTAATCAAAGCCCTGAAAGCTTTCGTTTCCTTTCACCAAGTTCTGTTCTGCTGAGACAGCAGGACGTGGAAATGCCAGCTCGGTGGGAAATTTAACCCAGCAACGCCATGATAAGCGATGAGTTGTCACCTCTGCCCAGGACCGACCAATCACACTCTGCAC